TTCTTTATGAAAAGAATGCAGAAATGTGATCCTTAAAAAATGAATATGGTACAGAAAGGACTAGAGGTGTTCAAGGAAACAACCTGATTACTTTTATTGCCACCTGGAAATAAAATTATTTTAGGAATCAGCAAGCCTGTATAGAAGGAATAGAATATGCTTTCCTGTCTTTAAATAGTGGTGGGCGGTTTTTCAGTTGAAGAGGATTTGGGGAAGTCAAAGGTGATGAGATGCTTTGGAAAGTCTGCCAGAGTATTTATCAAGAAACTTAAGTGTTCATACACTCTGATCTAGTAATTCCACTTGTAGATATATGTCCTGTAGAATTAATCATAGATATGGACAAGCATCTATTACAAGGAAGATCACTGATGCATTACTTACAATAGGGAGAAATTAGAGATGATCTAAATGTTTAACAAAAAGAGAATTGGCTAAATAAACTCTGGGCCCTGCTTATTATAAAATGTTATGATATTAAATCATGTTTGCAAAGAGATTTAAAAATATAGGAAAATTCTCCTAGTGAAATTCTCCTAGAATAGGGCCTGAAATATTGTAGGCACGCAATAAATATTTGTTCAATCAATACATGAATGAACTGCCAGAGAAATGAAGGTTAACATTTTTTAAAACTATAGGTAGGGTTAACACTTCTGCAATGGCATTTTAGAGGGAGAAAAGAAGATAAAAACAGTTCTCTCCCCTAAAAAAAAAAAAAGAACAGGCCAATGGAAAAAACTTTCTTCCAAGACATTGTAGGTGGAAATGGAGTCCATTTGCAATACTGGAGGTGCTTTCCTCTAAAATGAGATTCTGTTAACTTAATAGTTCTTGAGCACCTTTTCTGTGTGCTAAAAATTTTGCTGAGATGTTAGTTTGAGGAACTTTTCTAATTCAAAAGAGTTTCATCCTTTTACCGTTTTGTTAGGTGAAGAGGTGGAAATATTTTTACCTCATTAAACAGCCTCGTTTCCAAAGACCCAGACAGAGCACCTGCCGCATAAGCCTGTTTCCTACGCTCGCCCTCTAAGGTTAAGACTGGCAGGGTGCATTCTTGAAAGTGTTTGCCTTGTACATTTTAGTTCATCTTCAAAAACTGGCTCATTGCCATTCTGCACTCCAGCTTGTGATACTTAAATAGGAGATTCAAATGAAGCAGATATAAAAGTGTGTGTGTGTGTGTGTGTGTGTGTGTGTAGTGCGATGATGGGGAGAGGCCCCAGAAAGAAAACCAACAAAGATATGTGAGTTGGAAGCCATACTCTGAGCCAAGGGCTGCACTTGTTAAGTGGAAATTAGGGGTCCACCTACAACAGGGATGTTTCAAAACTAAGATCAGGACAAAACCATCATCCAAGGTCACCCCTAGGGGTATGTGAGCTCTGAAGCGAATTACACTGTGCTTCACTGTGTGGGAAGACTCAGCTCTGGGAAGTGGAAGAAAGCATTATAATTTTAGAAACCCTCTTTAAGAAAAGAATACAGTTTTGGGGTGCCTGGGTGGCTCAGTTGGTTAAGCATCTGCCTTTGGCTCAGGTCATCATCTCAGGGTCCTGGGATCGAGCCCCACATCGGGCTCCGTGCTCAGCAGGGAGTTTGCTTCTCCCTCTGCACCCCCACCCCCATGCTTGTGCTTGCTCTCTCTCTGAAATAAATCTTTAAAAAAAAGAAAAGAATACAATTTTAGGATACAAATACTGTAACAAAGAGACCCAGCAGTGCTTAAGAAACATTTAAATATATCCACCAAACCCTATTATGTGTATCCCCAAGCCAACTTTTCCTTTAGCTAGATCTCATAATGTCCAAGGCCCCTCTCCGAAGCTCTCTGACAGGAGGGTGATTGTGAAGAAAGGAAAATCACAGAGCAAAGACAGAGGTCTTAACTGATTGTGGTTAAAATACCTTAATTCTGCAAGTTTAACAAAAACACGTGCCCCTTGTGAATACATTATTAGGGCTCCTTCTAGGGCCTTTACAAGTTAGGGGCCTTGAAACTCAAGCTTTATTAACTTTGAGATAAATCCTCCTCTGACCGTGCCCCACCCCTAGCATTTTTCTGCAGATTAAATCAGACTAAAGTTAAAGGCAGCCAAAGGGATGAGTAGAAGGCAGAAATTATAGAAAGGTCACAGTGGGGACTCATCACATACATCCTTTTTTTTTTTTAAGATTTTATTTATTTATTTGACACAGAGAGAGAGTGAGCAAGCACAAGCAGGAGGAACGGGAGAGGGAGAGGCAGACTCCCCGCTGAGCATGGAGCCCGATGGGGGACTCGATCCCAGGACCCTGGGATCATGACCCAAGCCACAGGCAAACGCTTAACCGACTGAGCCACCCAGGCACCCCGACATATACATTCTTATTCCTCTTGCAAATATTGAGCTCTCAGGCTGGGAGATGACGCAGGACACGTTAGGTCTTCTGGAAGATACATAAAGGAGTCTTGGGGCTATCAGGCCTCCAGATGTAAGCATTAGCACAAATTGGAAAGCAAGGCTGTTTCAACCCAGTGGAGAAGAGAAAGTGACTTAGGAGGGCAGGTAACTTGGAGGTAAGAGAGCTGAGAGATAGTGCCTCATCCAGATGCCTTGAATGCTCTGGACTGGGCACTCATTGCTAGCTTGGCAGTTCTCTCCAGGCTGGCAAATGGGGGAACTTGTACCAAGTTTCTCAGCAGAGAGGGCCGTGCATATGAAAAGACAAACCAAACAAAATAAACCAAGATTGACTTTGGGGTTAACTGTAAGTGCTGTGGCCAGCCGCGGGGTTGGGGGTCAGTGGTTGATGGAGGGTTGATGAAGGACACCCTTGCAGCTCCAGGAATCCCTGAGGCAGCAACAGCCGAAACAGTGAGCGCAGAGTATTGGTGCTGGATGGGAGGAAGGATGTGGGGGATGGGGGCAGGGAGGACCCAGGAATGAGAAATAAAATCAGACCATTTAGGCATTTGGGTAAATTAAAAATACAAGCTTATTAAACAATGCATACTTTGGAAGCACACACCAAAGGATGCAAATTCAGTACATCAGAAGGACTGCCTATGGGAGAGGGTTAGAAGTAAGAAAGAGGGTTAAAAGAGAACACATTACTCACTCACTCAATCTATAATAAACAAGAGAAGGACCATGAAAACAACAAAACACTCCAACAGCAAGGAAAGAAAGTCCATTTTTTTTTGCAAAAATGGGGAGATTCCCAATAATAACACTTGGTGGGATCTGCATAGAGCAGTTTCAGACTCTCAGTGGTTCCAAGATTGTGGGGCTTTAGGAAACAAGGGCTCCCTCTCATGTAGGAGAACAGAAGAGATATTTTTAAAAACTGCTTCGTAGTTTTGGGGGAAAAATGATACATACTTTTGTTTTTAAAACATGCAAATAATACAGATTATTAAATGAATTGAATCCATGTGAAGTACTGACACATAATAAGCCCTCAATAAATGTTACAAAAATAACCTGAAATTTCTCCACCCAGAGATTAGCACAATTAAGATTTTGGTAAATATCTTTTCTAGGAAATATATCAATTTACTTATTTGCACATAAATGAAATCAAACTCTATGTGATGTTCTGAAACCTGGGTTTTTACACAACATCATACTATGGCGATCATTTCATGTCAGGAATATAGACTATCTTCACCCTTTCTAAAGTCTAGGGTGTACATTGTATAAATGTTCTATAATTTACTTAACCTGCTCACAATCGGTGGACATTGAAGCTGCTTCCAGTTTTTTATTTTTATTACTTTTTTAAAAAGATTTTATTTATTCATTTGTCAGAGAGAGAGAGCGCGCACACAAGCAGGGGGAGCCGCAGGCAGAGGGAGAAGCAGGCTCCTTGCTGAGCAAGGAGCCCGATGCGGGGCTTGATCCCAGGACCCTGGAATCATGACCTGAGCTGAAGGCAGACGCTTAGCCAACTGAGCCACCCAGGCGTCCCTGCTTCCAGTTTTTTTATCATTATATGAGACATTGCTGGCCCATCTGCATATACCTACCACTTTATATTTGTTTGAAGATTCTCTTAGAGTGGAATTGTGGTGTCAAAAGGTATGCACATTTGACATTTCAATACCGCCAAACTGCCCTACAGAAAAGTTTTGGTGTCTGTGCCTCCAACAATGGGGTACGGATACTTTGTTATCTCTCAACAAAAGGTGCAGTTCTTTTCAGTCTCTGGATACCCGCTGGGTGAAAAATAGCTAATTGTCAATTATATTTGCTTTTTTGTTATTAATGTAATGGTTAATTTTATGTGTCAACTTGGCTAGGCTATGGTGCCCAGTTTTGTTTTGTTTTTTGTCAAACACCAGTCTAGATGCTGCTGTGAATGCATATTTTAGAGATCAACATTTAAATCAGTAGATTTTGAGTTAAGCTGACTACCCTTCACGATATGGGTGGGCCTCATCCAATCAGTTGACGGCCTTCAGAGAAAAGACTCCGGTCAACTTTTTCCTGGGTCTCCAGCCTGCTCTCCTGCCCTGCATGTTTTGGACTTGCCTATCCCCACATGAGCCAATTCCTTAAAATAAAGTTCCAATTTCTAAATATACACATATCCTATTGGTTTTGTTTTTCTGGAGAATCCTGACAGCTACAACTAGTGAAGTTACCCCATTCAGCTGTTCATTAGCCACCTGTATTTCTTTTCTCTTCTCTTCCTTCTTTCCTTTTCATTCTCTCTCCCCTCCCTCCTTCTCTTTCTTTCTTTCTTCTTTCTTCTCTCTCTCTCTTTCTCTCTTAAAATTATCTCCTTGCCCTGTGCCTGGGTCTTTCTTAGCCCCTCTGCTCATGCCTGACATGAACTATGACCTAGGGCCCCAAAGTGATGGTTTCTGCAGTATACACCCTGATTTTCTGACTAGGGAATTATACTTCAAGTGATTTAATGTAAATAAATAGATTGAATAAAGCCAAGTAATTGAGAATGCTGCTTAGTTAAGGGAACTTACTTGAAAACCAGTTCCTCCTTCATCTATCAGTTAACAGCTGAATTTCCTGTTGTTTCTTTTTCCCCTCGTAGAGGCCGATGTCATCACAGCCACATAGCAGAACAATTTCCCACAGCAATGGAAGTTCTGTGATGGCATTGGGATTACAAATGCTGGTAAGGAAATTTGCAATCAGTACTTACTATCAGAAATTACAAAGAAAATTAATTTTAAACTTTCTAGGAAAGGAGATGTTCAGTGAAACTAGAAATTTTTCTTAATTCATTATACAGAGAAAGCCTGTCTCCGATCAACCAGAAAGAGAATGCTCTACAACTTCAAGGTACCCAATAAATAGGACTGGTGTAAGAGACAGATAGTCCTACTTCCGTGGGTTAAGTATCTGTGCCAAAATGGCGACTATCTTCATATTGGATAGGCTGGTGCCTGGACTATTTTTCAAGACCAGACCTGCCCTGAGAAAGCTTTAGAATTTCTTACTTACTAAGACTTACTCTGTCTTAGGTCAAATCTCCTAAGCGGGGTTCCCCCACCTCTATTGCCCTGTTAGAGTGGAAGCAGGATATATTAGTTTCCTATGGTTTCTATAACAAATTACCACAAGCTGGGTGGGGGGAGGGGTTTCAAACAACAGAAATTTATTGTCTCACAGTTCTGGAGGCCAGAAGTCCCAAATCAAGGTGTCAGGAGGATTGGCTTGAAGTCACATCTGAACTGTGCTAACTGGGAGGGGCAGCTGCTGCAAAGAAGAGCAATACTCATCAGAAGGAGGGGAACAGAGGCAGCTGAGCAGGCTCAAACACCGGACAAACACTGTGGGGAGGAAGGCGCTGAGTTCCACTTGGACGTGCTGAGTTGTGATGCAGCTGGTGAGACGCCCAAGCGTGATGTCCCCTGTCCATCAAATTTGGCAGCAGGTGTATTGTTTTTAACTTTAGCAAGAACACTTTCTGTGGAGTGTGGGGCACAAGGACTATCAAAGGGAGTTGAGGAGTGATTGGGAAGTGAGGAAAGTTGAAGCGGGGCCGATCAGAAGCCAGAGAATTAGGGTCTGTTCGGGAACATTCTCAGCTCTGAGGACAGTGTTGCTCAGGCAGCTTTTCAGGACCGGAGGCAATGCCCTAAAGCGGTACTTCTCAAAGGCTGGTACCCAGCCCAGCAGCATCCAGCATCTGGGAACTTACTGGAGAAGGGAAATTTGCGGACCCACCCAAGACCTAATGAATCACAAACTCTAGGGTGGAGCCCTCAAGTCTGTGTTTAAGAAGCCCTCAAGGTGATCCTGATGCAGGCTAAGGCCTGAGAACTACGTCTCAGGAGCCTGGGAGAACAAGCCTGACAGAGCCACTGGGGCCCTGTCTCAGGGAGGCATCTGTGTGTGGTGTTAGCATGTTTACTCCAGCTGGGCTTGCTTGGAAGCAGAGAGTCTGGTTTGGGGTGGGGGTGAGTCAGGGTGTTGGGCCCAAGGGCATGAATTTTTGTAAAGCAAGCCAATGAGAAAAGGGGCCGGTTCCCTTCCGGGGCAGGATCCCTGCTGCTTAAGGATGAACTACACCTGTTCTGATCTTTCAAGCAGATCAGCAGTCTGACATCTTTCCACTCCTCTGAGCAATACCAGAGGAAGGAGCTCTCTTGAAGGATGGGGCTGGGGATCAGCTGAAGCTGTCACCAAGTGGCATTTCTCACAATATTTGCAGAGCCCCTGGGAGATGTTAACCAGAAACTCGGTTTGCTCTTTGACTTCAGTCTTTATGGTTGAAAACCCTTCCAAAGTGGATCTGTCTTTTTACCACTTTAGAGACTAGAACAAAATCTAAAGTAGCCAAGTTGTGAAATATTTATTATCTTTACACTGCAGAGTGGGTTTAAGATGAGCTCTCCGATATTATTGCTCCTACCCTCTTGCATTCTGATTTGTTTCCTTGAAAGGGAGAGATTGGGTTGCATGGAGTTGCTGCTGACTGCTGGGATTTGCGTGTGACCCCCACCCCACATTATCGATGGCACACTCTGTTACGTGTGTCTGCATCTGATTTCCCCTTAATGGCTGTACATGCATGTCATCTGTCCAGTGGGCAGATAACAGGAAGTATGGCACAGTGTAAACACAATGAAGGCAGGGCTGGTTAGTTCACGGTTTTACCTCTAAAACCTAGAACTACAACAGCACCCAGTAAACATTGTTGAATGAATGAATGAAAGAACGTGGTTATTATAATTGGATTTGGGATCATCTTAGAATCTATGGGTCTAAGGGTTGCCATTCTGAGCATTAATCCTCACTATCTGGGACCATAAACTTACTAATCTTACTAATCCTGGTAACTTCTGGAAAAAGCTTTCAGAAAAATTTTGCAGAAATCCTTGAAATTACCTTTTTATGTAGTTTTCTCTTTTTTCACGAAAGAAGAGGACAATATCAAAATGGAGGGTGTTGGTGATAGGATTGGATTACTCCAATTCTTCTCTTCCCCCTCCCCCTTGGAATGTATCCCGTCTTTGCCACGTTGCTCTATAGTGCCCCCTACCGGAGGGATCAGACTATATTTCCCCATCCACTGATGTTGGACTTGGCATGACTTATTTTGGCCAGTGGAATTTACTAGTAGACATGAGATGAGCAGAGACTTTAAATGTGCTCCTGTAGTTGGCTTGGCTTCTTGTCCTGTCCTCCACCATGAGAACTGACCTGGGCATCTTCCGGTCCAAGGAAAATGAGAGAAATGTGGAGTGGACCTGATCCCAATCTGCAGCCCAGCACAGAGCTGTCCCAGCAGTCCCACACACCTGGGAGGAAGAAAAAGAAATGCTTCTGATATGCCATAGAGATTTTGGAGTCATTTGTTATGCAGCATTCACACAGCAGAAGCCCAACAAATAACATGTCCTTCAGGTGGATCCTAGCAAACAGATATTTTACTGCATTTTTTAAAACTTTTGGGGTGCTGAGGATGACAAGAGACTAGAGAGGAGTTAAGATGCTGAACATTGGTGTTCAGTCCTAATGCTCAAATCAAGCCAGCAAGGACTAAACAAAGTACTAAACAGTGCTAAGCTGGATAGCATTAAAGAGATCTTATTCTAGTTATCTCTGGTTTTTTAGAGGTCGTAAGTACCAGATAGTAGCTCCCTGAAGAAGCAGCAGGAGGAAGAGGCCTCATTTTTAGGAATGCTCATCCCATGTTTTGGCGCAGGTGAACATTGAAGCTACTGGCTCATCAACCCCAGCAGCCCGGAGGATTGTCACAATATCTAACAGCCCATACAGAAAGGGCTCCAACTGCTCAAGGAGAGGCCCCGCTCCTGAGCCATCTTCGGAGCAGATGAGCTATGATCGGCAATTTGGCGGGGGAGGGCCCCTCTTTTCCAAGAATTCCAGCGAAGTCCCAAACCCATCCTTTGAGCCAGGGTTGTTGAGTTGGACTCCCCCAGAATGTGTGATCCAAGAATGAAAAGGGGAGGTTTCCAGTGACAGGTAGAAGAACGCTCCAGGGGTCTATATCCTAACGCTGAGAAACTATGAATAGGCTACATGGCACGGGGGAATTAAGGTTGCCAGTCAGCTCCTTCAACTAGGGAGATGATCCAGGTAAACCCGATACAAGCAATAGGATTGTAAGTGGGAGAAGGAGGCAGAAGACGAGCAACCAGAGAGATGGTAGTGAGAGAAGGACTTGGCCGGACGCTGCTGGCTTTGAAAATGGAGGAACTGACTTCAGTTCCGTGAGACCTGTTTTGGACACCTGTGACCTCCAGAACCGTAAGATAATAAATTTGTGTCGTTTTAAGGCACCGAGTTAGTGGTCATGTGTTATGGCAACAACAGAAAACGAATACGTTCCCAATAGGGAACTAGAGTGCTCTTCCCAAAATGAGGGGAAATGCCGGGCAGGTGAACAGAGAGACCAGAGCAGATGTGTACTGTAGCCTGGGTCTCTAGTATGTCTTGTTCTGTGGCTCTCTGGATATTTCCCCAGGGGGGACAGAATAGCATATACTTTCCAAAGTGTTGTCGATAGGAGCTTGCACCTGTTCCACAAAGCCAAAGCTCATCGCACCTGTGAGTAAGAGCAGACAAGCCTGAGGGTGTTACCTCCAAAGGCATTCTACACAGACTTGAAACCTGGTTCCTTCACTTACTGGCTGGGCAACCCTAGGCAGGTTACTTAACCTCTCTGTGCCTCAGTGAAAAGAGGATGATACCTATCTAGCTGATGGAGTTTTTATGAGGATTGATGTTAGTACATGTAACTAAGCATCATGGCTGGCATATGATTAAGACTCGAATAGTACTGGTTGCTATTAGGGCTAACACTACTAGGTAGTCTGTGTAGTGATTTGTAAGCCTTGGGTCTAGAGCCACAATATGGGGGGTCAAAGTTGGCTCTGTCACTTAGAACTTCTCTGCTTAGGCAAGTTATCAGGCCCAATTTTTTCTTGTGTAAAATGATGATATTAAAGTTACCTCCTTCATAGAGTTGTGATGAGGCATTAATCAATTAACAGGCCTAAAGTCCTAGGACAATGCCAGACAGGTCCGATAAATATTCTCTGTCATCATCACCGTTCGCAGTTGTCCAGGGTCACCATCGCTCTGAATGATGAATAACGAAACAACCACCATCATTGAGTCAGTGGCTCCTCATGGGACCATGAAGACCTTTTCGGTTGGGAAGAACCGTGGTCTCCATACTGGGGGAATCACCAGAGCAACACCACCCCTCCTCCTCCAGGAGGTCAAATCATGGGGGAGATGCACATATGATATATAAAAAGAAAGGAAAGTGAAAAACTTAGTTGTCAGAAACACACAGTCAGGAGAGACTCATAAATGGGACAAAGGACACACGCCTGCCTCTCTTTTTTCTCTACTCTCTGATTACGCAGCATTGGACTTGCCTATTGCCTTGGATTCAGTGCTTTTACACTTTGTAACATAGTCAGAACATTAGGTTAAGGAACCTTGTCATTTTCCTATTCAAAGCTGTCCACTCAATAATACCAAGAATTCCCACTCTGGTAGATAATGACAAGAAGTTAAGACAGCCCGCTAGTAAACAAGCAGATCATTTCATGGCAGCAGCTGATTTAATCAAAACATTCTGGTTCTCCCTCATCTGAACCCACACAAGGACTGAACCAATCCGATTGGAAAAAAATATTTGTTTTATCTTTGCTACATTTATTTACTCTTAGGGACTATTTAACTTGATCGGGCAGAGAAGCCGGAAAGAACGGAACCACTCGAGGCACTGAGCAGCCCTGTGTCTCTCCGGCACCGGGTGGAATGGCTGGGGGTCCTTCCACACCGGCCTGTTCTCCAGCCACGTCTAGAAGTCCTTTGCCCTTGTCTTCATGGGGGAGAATTGCGCTGTTCGTGTGCCCAGTTTGGGGGGTGGGTGGGTGCAGAATGGGAATTAGAGAAAACAAGCCAGTAATTTCACAGTTCTGCCCCGCCATGTAAGTGATTTCAAAATACGAAATATTTTGTCCTTCCACAACATTTTCTGACAATTGTGTGTGTGTAAGGCATGGCGAAGGTATTACAGGAAGGCGAAGATAAATTAGATCTGGATTAAATCCCAAGGAACGCCCAAAGTTCACATGATAGACACACGAATACCTGTGAGGGGCCGAAAGCTACAGGTGTGTTCTAGGTTGGAGCCAGGATCTCACAAAGATGCTTGCTGCCTGTGATACAATAAAAAGTTCTATACCTGGCACAGCGCTCCTAAAACCCTTAGAAATGGGGTGGTGAACACATCTACATGCCGGAAGGGTGGCCTACCCTTAACCCTCGAGGCTCCTGCTCTTGGGAGCCTTTCACATCTCACCCTATGTACCTCTTCATTTGGCTGTTCATTTGTATCCTCTATAATAAGCTTGAAGAGTAAGTGGAGCACTTTCCGAAGTTCTGTGAATTGTTCTAGTAAATAATTGAACCCAGGTGGGGGGCATTGTGGGGACCCCCGAATTTTGTAGTCAGTTAAGCAGAAGTGCTGGTCACCTGGGGGCCCCACTTGCCACTGGCATCTGAAGTGGGGGCAGTCTTGTGGGACTGAGCCCTTTAACTTGTAGGATCTCATGCTAACGAACTCCAGGTGTAGATAGTATTAGGATTGAATTGAATTGTGGACACCCAGTAGGTGCTGGAGAATTGGTTGGTGTTAGGAAAAACCATGTATTCAGTGTCAGGAGTGGAGTCAGAAAACACCAGTCAGTCTCACAAAATTGCTCCAGCTTGAGGTAAGGGAGATGAGCTTTTATGCCCTGTATCAGCTAGCCATTGGCTATAGGCTGCCCCCCGGGTAGAATTACCTCCCAAATATTTCTGGGCAAGGTGGCTCCCACGGGTCAAGGGCAACTGTGCAGGGAAGGGTACAGCGGTAAGCCTGTAGCAGCTAATCCTTGCAGCAGTCATGGGCTGACTAGACCTGCTGGGGAAAAGGGGGTCTGGACAGGACACAACAGCACTGATTACAAAGTTGCATTCCAAGGAAGATAGGAAACTGTGGGTGGAAGCTCCCATGAGATGCGAACTGATCCACTGACATCAGTAGGAGGTGAGGAGATTCCTCAAAACAATCATCCAAGAAGCTCCTGCCTGAAGATTCCAGTAAGACATAGGTGATTGTATTAGCCAGCGTTGTCCAGAGAAACAATACCAGTAGAAGATATATAGATATATATATATATATATATATATATGCTGATATGATTATGGAGGCCGAGAAGTCTCACCCTCTGCTGTCTATAAGCTGGAGAACCAGGAAAGCCAGTGGTATAATTCAATCCAAGCCCAAAGGCCCAAGGAAGGGGGTTGGGATACTTGATGGTTCTAAGTCCCAGGCTGAGTTGAAAATGAGAAGTGTGATGCCTGAGGGCGGGAGAAGATGAACATCCCAGCTGAGGCAGAGAACAAATTCTCCCTTCCTCTGCTTTTTTGTTCTATTCGGACCCTCAACAGATTAGACAATGCCACATGGGGGAGGAGGAGAGTGATCTTCTTCACTCAGTCTACCCATATTAATCTCTTCAGGAAACACCCTCACAGACACACCAAGAAAGAATGTTTTATCCGGTATCTGGGTGTTTCTCTGCCCGGTCATGTCGACTGTGTAAGATCAACGATCACAGTGATGCAATGGAAATGTGGTTAGGGCAGAATCGACGTGATGGGTATTTAAATGTAACACCTAGGAGTATCTGAGGGAGAACATCCGGAGGGCTCCTGGAATGAAAAATAAAGCCAAAAATGAAGTTTAAAATGAAGTCCTGGTTTAGGGGGTGAGACTACCATCCTTTATAGAAAACTAAGACAAAAACAACATAACCATTTATTGAGCACTTACTATTTGTCAGGTGCTGTGACTTTTTGGCTCAAGCTTTGCAATTTATGACGAAATAAATTGTATTGTATTATTTATAAATTGTATTATCACCTTCACATGGACCATCTTATTTACCTCCCGCAACATTCTTATGAGGGAGCATTATCCCTACTTTTAGAAAAAAGGACACTGAGATTCAGAGAGTTAAGTTAACTTGCTTATGGTCACTCAGCAAATGAGTGGGGTTTGGATTCCAGGAGTTATTTATTCAGAGAAGGACAAATAGGAGATCCAATTCTCACCGTCACCCTGTCCTGTTCCATCAGGAGTGAGTGGAAACGTGCCACTTTCTTTCATCAAGACCAAATTACGACTTCCAGAAGCACAAGACACAAAAGACACTCCCGTGCAGAGTGAACAGCCCCATCCAGGGCACCCTTCTTAGTCACAGTGGTGTGTCCTCACCTCAGTAGCTGTCCAGGAAAGTCACATAACATGCACACCAGAGATAGCCCCTAGAAGAAGGGGTGAGACGGGGTGTGGAATCATTTCAGGGGGAAGTGGGAGAGTTACCGGGTCACCAGTCAGCGCAGGGTGAGATAAACCAGTCAGGGGGATTCTAAGGTTGTGTCCAGAGTATGGCTCCTGGAAATAAGAGTGAATAATACATAGAAATCTTTCTGCAGCTGTTCCGAGAAGCCGGAGCTCCTTCTTCAGGCCTTCGGGCAGCTTTGCTGGAGAGTGTTTTTACTACCGTGTCCCTGCACGTAAGCCTGGCGTAGGTCCACGATGTTTGTGAGTTTGCCTGCCTGCCCTCTCTTCTCTGCCAGATAGGAGCTGCCAGCTCAAGTACAACCTCCTCACCTCAGATCAATTCTGCAAACATTTATGGAACATCTTCTCTCTGCTGGGCACCAGGCTAGGAACTAGGGAGCACACAGTAAATAGCTGTTGTTGTTTATTAACACTCTGCTTAGAATGTTGACCTCAAGCAAGTTACCTGGCTCTCTATATTTTAGTTTCCTAATCTGTGAAGTATGATAATAATAGGATTTACCTTGAATAATAGGCTCTACCTATAACTGTGAAGTCTAAATTGAGTTAATGTATCAGGGACACCTAGCTGGCTTAGTCGGTGGAGCGTGCAACTCTTGATCTCAGGGTTGTGGGTTTGAGCCCCATGTTGGGTATAGAGATGAGTTAAAAATAAAATCTTTAAAAAATTTTTTTAAAAATGAGTTAATAGATTAGAACATTTAGGTACTTTATATATAACAGGCATTCTTCTAATAAACATTAGCTCATATTATTACTACTATTACTGATATTACTACTACAGCTACCATAGTGAATAAGACAGATAAGATACGGTCTTTGGGTTATGGAATTTAAGGCTAGTGGGGAAAACAAGCAATTGCAATGAAGTGGCGGGTGTTCACGTACCCAGAAGTAGAGATGCTGTGGGAACATTCAGGAGGGGCCCCCAGGCTTTGGTGGTTATTGAAGGTTTCCCAAGGGAAACAATGGCTTAGTTGAGACCTGAAGAATGAAGAGGCCAGTAAAATTACAGATAAGAAAAGGCCCTAGCAATGGGAGCATGTAAGAGTGATATTTTTGTTTTTTATTTTTATTTTTTAAAATTGAGATATAATTGACATATAACATTGTGTAAGTTTAGGGTATACCACATGTCGATTTGATACATTTATATATTGCAACATGATTATCACTCTTGTCCCGTAATATTATTTCTTTTTTGTGGTTATAGCATCTAGTAAGAGTGCTATTTTTAAATCTCTTTTTATGCTAAAGGTAAATCAGTATCTTTTCTTACCTGTAATTTCACTGACCATGAACTATTCTCTTTCTTGAATCACTTGAATTAAGGTGGAGGTGGCGGGGGTGTGTGTGTCTAGACCTTTAAGTTGTTCCTCTCCAAGTTAGTTATTTTTCAGTTTTATCTTTTCAAGAGTCAGGTTTATTGGGGAATAATTTACATAAAATAAAATTTACCCCTTTAGAGTGTATCATTCAATGAGTTTTGTCAATTGTATATAGTCATGTAATTGCTGCCTTATTCAAGATGTAAAATCTTTCTACCAGCTCCAAAAGTCCCCTCATGTCCCTTGCAGTCAGTCTCCTCACCCACTCCCATTTCCTGGCAACATCTAATCTGTTTTCCAGAAAATCATGTAAATGGAATCCTATAATATATAGCATTTTGTGCCTGGCTTCTCATACTTAACATACTGCTCTTGAGACTAGTTCGTATTGTCGCATGTGTCAGTAGTTTGCTCTTTTTAATTTTTTTTTTAATTGCTGAGTATTATTCTATGTTCTGGATGTAGTACAATTTTTTAACCTATTTACGTGTTGCTGAACGTTTGGGTTGTTTCCAGTCTTTAGCTATTATGACTAAGATTGTTATAAACATTCATGTACAGGCCTTTGTGTAGACATACGAAATCATTTCTCTTGCATAAATACCTGGGGGTGGTATTGCTGTTAAACATAATCAGTGTATGTTTGATTTTATAAGAAACCACTAAGCTATTTTAAAGTGGTTTTACCGTTTCCCATTCTCACCAGCAGTCTGAGAGTTTCAGTTGCCTCATATGCCTGCCAATGTTTGGTAATGTCAATCTTTTAAATTTTAGATGTTCTAGTGGGTGTGTAATGGTATTTTGTCATGTTTTAATTTAGATTTCCCTAAATTCAAATTAGCATCTTTTAATGAACTAATTTGTCATTTATATATATTCTGTGATGAAAGTGTCTGTTTAAATATTTTGACCACTTTTTAGTTGGATTTTTATATTTTTCTTATTGAGTTGTAAAGGTTCTTTATGAGTATTCTTGTATCTAGAATATCTATTATCAGATACAGAAATTTCTAATAATTTTCCAAGTCTGTGGTTTTTAAAATTTTTCTTTTTTCTTTTTTTAAAGATCTTATTTATTTATTTATTTGAGAGAGAGAGCACATGCACACAAGCAAGGGGAGGCAGAAGGAGAAGCAGACTCCCCACTGAGCCGGGAGCTGGATGTAGGACTTCATCCTAAGACCCTGGGATCATGACCTGAGCCAAAAGCAGATGCTTAACCAACTGAGCCACCCAGGTGCCCTAAAATTTTTCTTAACATTATCTTTTTTGTAACAGCTTTATTGAGATATATTCACATTATCTTTTGAAGAGCAGAAATTTTTCATTTTGATGAGTCCAATGTATCAATTTTTTCTTACCATTTGTGATGTTTGTGTCCTATCTAAGAAAACTTTGCCTGACCCAAGGTAACAAGATTTTCTCCTATGTTTCTCAGAAGTTTTATTGTTTTGTCTCTTACATTTAGGTCTATGATCCATTTAAAATTAATGTTTGTGTATGGTATGAAGTAAGGGTCAAGGTTCATTTTCTTGGTGTATGGATGTCCAATTGTTTCAGTACCAGTTGTTGAAAAACTATCCTTTCTTCATTGAATTACCTAGGCAGTTTTGTTCAAAATCCATTGACTATATTTTGGTGGATCTATTTCTGGACTCTCTAGTCTGTTCCCCTGATCTGTATGTCCATCTTTAGATCAGTACTATTCTGTCTTGATTACTATAGCTTTAGAATAAATCTTCAAGGGGCTCCTGGGTGGCTCTGTCAGTTAAGCATCTGCCTTCGGCTCAGGTCACGATCCCAGAATCCTGGGATTAAGCCCCACATTGGGCTCCCTGCTCAGCAGGGAGCCTGCTTCTGACTATCCCTCTACTGTTCTCCCCTGCATGTGTACTCTCTCTCTCTTTCTCAAATAAATAAATAAAATCTTTAAAAAAGAAGAATAAATCTTCAAATCAGATAGAGTGAATCTTCTACCTTTGTTATTCTTTTTCAAAAATGATTTCTAGGTCCTTTGCATTTCCAAATACATTTTAGAATCAGTTTGTTGATTTCTACAACACAACAAAAACACAAAAAAATTGTGTTGTATCTATAGATCAATTTAGGGAGAATGACATCTTCACAATATTGACCTTTCCCATCCATGAGCATGGTCTCTCTTTTCATTTGTTTAATTTTCCTTAATTTTTCTCAGCATTAAATTTTTCTTTTTCATGTATGGGTCTTGCACGTATTTGATTACTCTCTAATTATTCCATGCTTTTAAACCTATCGTAGATGATATTTCTAACATTTCCAATAATTTGTTGCTAGTAAATAGAAAAACAACTTATTTTTTGTACTGACCTTATGTCCTGAAACCTAGCTAAACTCACATATTTATTGTAGTAACTATTTGTATTTCTGATTCCTTAGAATTTCCTACAGAGGTGAT